CGCCGCTCCCTCCCCGCAGAGCCGCGCAGAGAGGCGGCGGCGCCAACAGCAACGCGGTGACCGGGGCCAGCTCGGCCGGCGGGGCCTCCAGAGGCCGCAGCACCGCCACCGCCATAGAACCGCCGCGGCGGAACCCCGCCGGTTCCTCACGGTCCTCCAAGGCCATAGAGCGGCGGTGCAGAGCGGCCCCGGGAACCATAGAGCGGCAGCTTTTTCCGCTCAGCAGCGCCCCCCCTCGGCCCCGCTGGCCTCGGAGGCCTCGCTGCACCTGAGGGTTAATATCCCAGAGAGTTTTTTAATAATAATAGAATCTTCTAGGTTGGAAGGGACCTTAAAAATCATCTTATCCAACCGTCAACCTAACTTTGAAAAAATAGACACCCACACAACAAACAAAAAGCAACACCATCACTAAACCATATCTCCCTGCACTACATCAACCCGTCTTTTGAACACCTCCAGGGATGGTGCCTCAACCACCTCCCTGGGCAGCCCATTCCAATGGCTGAGAACCCTTTCAGTGAAAAAAATTTTCCTAATATCCAGCCTGGACCTCCCCTGGCGTAACTTGAGGCCATTTCCTCTCGTCCAAGAACATTGAGTTTAGAAATAGTTAAAGAAGGAAATCATTGCTCAAGGATGTGGTTAAGCTCACCATGAGCCAGCAGTGCGCGCTGGCAGCCCAGAAAGCCAACCCCATTCTGGGCTGCATCAAGAGAAGTGTGGCCAGCAGGGCCAGGGAGGGGATTCTGCCCCTCCGCTCTGCGCTCCTGAGACCCCACCTGGAGCTCTGTGTCCAGCTCTGGAGTCCTCAGCACAGGAAGGACATGGACCTGTTGGAACGGGTCCAGCGGAGGGCCACGAAGATGATGAGAGGGCTGGAGCACCTCTGCTGTGAGGACAGGCTGAGAGAGCTGGGGTTGTTCAGCCTGGAGAGGAGAAGGCTCCTGCGAGACCTTAGAGCAGCCTTCCAGTACCTGAAGGGAGCTCCAGGAGAGCTGGGGAGGGACTCTTTGTCAGGGAGTGCAGTGACAGGACAAGGGGGAATGGTTTTAAATTGGAAGAGGGGAGATTTAGATTGGATACCAGAAAGAAATTCTTTGCTGTGAGGGTGGTGAGGCACTGGAAGAGGTTGCCCAGAGAAGCTGTGGCTGCCCCATCCCTGGAGGGGTTCAAGGCCAGGCTGGATGGGGCTTGGAGCAACCTGGTCTGGTGGGAGGTGTCCCTGCCCAGGGCAGGGGGGTTGGAACTCGATGGTCTTTAAGGTTCCTTCCAACTCTGACCATTCTATGATTCTATGAATTTTGTTATTTGCTCCATTAGAGGGTCAGAAATGGAAAAGCACAGAGGGGTCCCACTTGTGGGGAGGAGGGGACAGGAGAGGTGACCCAAACCTGACCAACTGGGGTATTCCATCCCATCTGCCCCATGCTCAGTTTAACAGCTGAGGGATCAACCCTGAGATGGCCAACGTCTGAAGAGCACCCTGTCTGTTCATCTGCCTTTGATCCCGATCCATGTGTTCGTCACTCCAGAGCTGGAACCCAGTTCCCATCCCTCACTGAGTCCAATCTGGGACTTCCCCAGTGCCTGACAGTGACGGTACTGTCATCCTGGGAGATTGATATGGTTTTGCATTTATTGTATCTATTTCATTATTTTCCTCTTCTTTTTTATTTTAATATTAATCCTTCATTAAAGTAGTTTAGTTCATTCTAAGCTTCTGAATCTCCTCATCTCTTCCTCTCCTCTTTTTTGGGGGTGGAAGGACCATCTGTTGGTCCAGTTTTGGTATTCAGCCGAAATCATGACAAAGAGGGCAATGGCAACACGCACAGGGCTAAATATGGGCACTTGGTTCCTACAAACGCGTTTGTGTCGGTGTTAGTGCTGAACTAACCTTGGAAAGGCGCAGTCAGGAGGAAGCAGGAGCCTCTTCGGTGAGTGCCTATGCCCTCTGCCAGAACCCAGCTTGCTCTGGGGAAGGGGCTGCTCGTTGTGATACGTAAAGGCAGATTTTATGTAGTTTATAAATGGAATCTTTTTTTACAGAAGAAATGTAGCCGTTCTAGCAACCAGCCCAAATGGTTTCAAGTTTAGAGAAGAAATGTAGCCGTTCTAGCAACCAGCCCAAATGGTTTCAAGGACTTGGTAAGACAAGAAAGGATGTGTGTGGCCCTGAGAACATGGTGACCTGAGACGGGGATGTGATAAATATGGACATTGTCTGACAAACAGGTGGTAGCAGGGAGATCATTAGTTTTAATGAGCAATTAACCAGTTAGAATGTTTTGCCAACATGAAAAGTGAGCCAAAGGACAGGTGAAGAAGACAAAGACTGAGGAAGAAATGACCCTCACTAAAAATGAGGACCACCAGAAGGCACAACTACGCATGCCCAAAAGCTTATTATAATATGTAAATGAATTCTCGGAAAAGTAATGAATATGTTAACGTTTTCTTGGAATTACATTGCATACGTATACCTGTTGTGTATAAATTTAATTTGCCAACAGTATTCGGGGAGCACAACAGGAGGAGCTATCCCCCGTGCACCCGGCGCCGCAATAAAGAATAACTGCTTTCTAAGCTTTAAATTGAGTCTTGGAAAGTTTTATGGGCTGGTTTGCAGTAACGGTTGTCCTGAGTGCCATCCGAGAAGCCAGTAATGAAAAACAACCCCCCCACACACACACACAGACAGAGGGTTCTTTAGTTCTGCATCCAGACACCCCTGGTGTGTTGCCCCGCAGGTTGACGGGGGGTCTGTTGGGCTGAAGGGAAGGAGTGGAGGCTGCTGGGTTGACCTCCAGGACTTCCCTGGTTCATGGGCTGCTCGCACTGTCCAGTCACCCAGGTCCACACGAGGGAGCGCTTGCAAAGGGCTCACGCTCCCATCCTCACCTTCCAGCCTCAAAATCCGGCCGGCAGTATGGGGAGGATCGGCCGAGACAAAAATGCCAGTTAGAAATTAATATCGCTAAGCTTTACGAGAAATAACATCGTGAAGATGCTGCTGCAAATGCAGCCTCCTCTGCTGCGGTCTGCTCATCGCCAGGACAACCCCACCGCCTCCGGTCCCATAAAAGACAAGAGACGTGCTAAAATAATCTCATTTTTATTCCTTTTTCCCTTTGCTCGCCCCTTCTGCCATGACTGGTTTAGCAAACCGCTTCAGTTCAACAGCCAGCCCAGGGCACGAGTTGTGGCTGGGTTTGGCTACCACTAATCTCAGGGTGGACCTAATCTGAAGCAATGACGAGAAGAAGGTTCTGCCCTACTCCTAGTGTCACTACAACCACAGCGACCTATGGAGGACAGCGAGCACTTCCCTGCCAGGTTTAGCACCGGCAGCCAAGAGACTGTGCCTACTCTGAGGATTGCCCCACCAGACCCTGCCACCAGCACCTGGTGGCAATCAGGAGCTGAACCTCAGTCAGTCACTTTCATCCACCAGCAACTCCCTTCACGTGGGGCCTGCAGTTCCTTCCCGGCACATTCCACAAGTGCTGGAGCGTGTCCAGAGGAGAGCCACCAAGCTGGTGAGGGGTCTGGAGAACAAGTCACACGAGGAGAGGCTGAGGGAACTGGGCATGTTTAGTTTGGAGAAGAGGAGGCTGAGGGGAGACCTCATTGCCCTCTACAAGTCCCTGAAAGGAGGGTGTAGAGAGGTGGGTGTTGGCCTCTTCTCCCAAGGGAATAAGGACAGGAGCAGAGGAAATGGTCTGAAGTTGGGGCAGGGGAGGTTTAGATGAGATATTGGGAAGAATGACTTTCCTGAGAGGGTGGTCAGGCACTGGAAGAGCCTGCCCAGGGAGGTGGTGGAGTCACCATCCCTGGAGGTATTTCAGAAACGTGTAGAGGTGGCACTTCAGGGCGTGCTCTAATGCCCGAGATTGTTGGGTTGTGTCTGTTTGTGGGGTCATTTTTTGGGTGAGTTTTTTTTTTGTTTGGTTTGGTTTGAGTTGGGTTTTTTTTGTGGTTGGACTCGACGATCTCAAAGGTCCCTTCCAACCATGAAGATTCTGTGAAAAAGTGCTTGGGGCCAGCAACCCTCCCCGTGACTTCCCCCCCCTTCCCAGCATGAGGTGAGAGCTGGGAGGACCACCAAAGCCTACCGGGAGAGTTGTGGTGGTGATGTTTCCCTGGGTAGCAGTTGTGACGGCGGCGACGTGCTCATGCTCACTCTCGAAGAACCAGGCCATCTGCAGGCGGGCAGGGCGAAAATAAATAAATAAATAAATAAAGGAATGATTGCGGGCATCCAGTGCCAGCGTGGCACGGCCCAAATAAAAGGTTTGCAGATGCTGCTCAGGCAGGATTAGGCCTCCAATGTGCTAAGTCTCGGCTCTCTGCGAGCCTAATTGCTGCTGCAATAAGCCCTGGCTGGTCCTTCCCTGAACCGCCCTCCCCGTTTCCCCCCCCCTCCTCGGCCCCCAACAAATGGGGCTTTTTGGTTGTTTTTTTTTTTTTGCTGCAAAGCTTGTATTTGCCATGCATATGTTCCCCCCGCCGCCAAATCCCTGGCCGAGCGGAGGAGGGGAAAGGCAGGAAATCTGCAGATGCCACTTTTATTGCTCTGCTCTTCCCAGCCAGCATCCCACCGCCCCTGTGGTGGGACCACCCACCACCCCCAGAGGCGGGGGGGACAGGTGACAGCATCCTTCCGTGGCCACACACCCCACACACCCCCCCCACCCCAAGCTGTATTAGGAAACCTTCCAAATGGGAATTACTCAGATTTTAATAAAACCTTTTTGATGGTTTTCCGTCATGTTTTGGCCGGCAAGATGAAGCTGGAGGTGTTCCAGGAGAGCTCAGCCCAGCCCAATGAGGATCCCTCACCACCAGGAGTTGGGTGGCCATGATTGCCCTTGTGCTTGTGTGGTGGGGACCAGGTGGTACCTGCTGCCGTGCCTTCACCTAGCCAAAGGTGCTGCTCCTTGTATTTAGCCACAGGAGATGTGGGGACACGGAGCCCCAACTCTGCACCCTCCAAAGCAGCGCAATCAGGGGAAAAACCTCACACTTGCACTCTATTAAGGAGGCCAAAGGACACTGTGTTAAGAAGGCCAATGGCATCCTGGGGGGCATCAGGAAGAGTGTGAGCAGCAGGTGGAGGGAGGTCATCCTGCCCCTCTGCTCTGCCCTGGGGAGGCCCCCTCTGGAGCACTGGGACCAGTTCTGGGCTCCCCAGTTCAAGGACAGGGAACTGCTGGAGAGGGTGCAGCAGAGGGCTACAAAGATGATGAGGGGACTAGAACATCTCCCTTATGAGGAAGGGCTGAGTGACTTGGGTCTTTTTGGTCTGGAGAAGAGAAGGCTGAGGGGGGATCTGATCAATGCTTATAAATACTTAAAGGGAGGGTGTCAAGAGGATGGGGCTGGTCTTTTTTCAGTGGTGCCCAGGGACAGGGCAAGGGGAAATGGGCACCAACTTGAATAGAAGAAGTTCCACCTAAAGATGAGGAGGAACTTCTTTCCTGTGAGGGTGGCAGAGCCCTGGCAGAGGCTGCCCAGGGAGGTGGTGGAGTCTCCTTCTCTGGAGACATTCAAACCCCACCTGGACACGTTCCTGTGCAACCTGCTCTGGGTGGCCCTGCTTTGGCAGGGGGTTGGACTGGATGATCTCCAGAGGTCCCTTCCAATCTTGATTCTGTGATTCTCAACAACCCTTGGAAGACTGGAGCAACTTTCTCTCTGTGACTTCCAGCAGGAACTGGCCGCATGCCCCATTTCAGACCATTTCCTAACCCATCAGCTGTGGTACAGCTCCTTTGACTGGCAGAAATCAATCACCTTCTGAAGGTCCCTTCTAACCTAGGTGATTCTATGATTCTATGTGGAGGCCACTGGACTAGACCTCAGTTCTGGGGAGAGACACACGAGGGCTTCATTTTGCCCCCTTGGAACAACTACACTGCCCCAGCAGGGCTCTCCAGCCCAGTTTAGGCATGAGTCTGTGAAAGATCTACTCAAAGCTGGCAAGTACCACCAGATGTGCCAAAGCAAGTGGTCTGACACCGGAACAGGCTGCCCAGGGAGGTGGTTGAGTTACCATCTCTGGAAGTGTTTAAGAGTCATTTAGATGTGGTGTTGGGGGATATGGTGTAAGGGAGAACTTTGTACAGTAGGGTAGATGGTTGGACTCGATGATCCCAAGGGTCTTTTCCAACCTGAACGATTCTATGATTCTATGATTAAAGTACAAATTGCAACGCAGAGCATGAAAACCAAAGATACACCACAATTTTATTTCTGGATGTTGTAATAAATAAACGGTTGACAAAACAGGAAGAGCCACATTCAAAAATCCAGATCACTAAAGTGCTTTTAGACATAAATATAGGACAACCAAGAAAACAGCTCTGACATTAACACTTTTTACAGACAATTACAAAATATCTTCTTATGTCGATGCACAAAATTGTTTAATTGCTCCGGGGTATACTATGGCTTGGTTTTCAAAAAAGGTCTGGCCTATTATGCATAGTGTGGCAGGTTGACATTCGACGAGGTGTACAAAAGCGTTGCATCAAGAAAAATGTCTTTAAACCCCCTTCTCCCAAATGCGAGTTAAGGAAGATACACAGTGTAAATCCAGTGGTAAGGCTGCGTTGGCAGGGCCAGATCCTCAGGAGGTATAAAGCGGGGCGCCCGTCAGGTTTACACCAGCTTGAGGAGGAACCCTACCGTGTTTAAAAAAACCCTGCTGCTCCTCCTCCGAGGTGGAAGAATTGTGTGTTCAAAGCGGAGGGAAGTGCTCAGAGGAGGTGTCCCATAAAATCCCGCAACCGTCTTCGGACCCCCACGTCTGAGACGGGAGGGACTTCCATTCCGTTGCTTCTCCATGTGCTCCAGGCTGGCCAGGGGAAGCATCCACAGCTCAGAAGGGAAGGTGGGGAGGACTCTTCCCCGGCAACGTTCCGTGCTGACCACGATGAGGGGGGGGGTCTCATTTCCACGCTGCTCTTGGACCCCTGCCCGGGGACACCTCTCCCACCCTCCCACCCTGAGAAATGAACAGCTCGAAAGAGGGGACAAGGGGATGCATGTGCTCAGTTTCATAAATGCCCTGAATTCAGATAAAAGTTCAATTATTTAAGAAAAAAATATATATATATCAATCAATCAATAAATATTATTATCTCGCCAGGAAGCTGTGAGGTCTGGCCCCCTCTGGGGCAACTCGAGCTCAGTGGTCCCTGTCCTTCTGCTCCGTGGGGGGGTCCCCGTTGATGCACTGCCGCAGTACGCCCCTCTTCTCGTGCTTGGCTGTCCTGGAGAGGTCAATGGCTGTGTCCTCCGAATCTTTTGCGGGGCCAAGCTTGTCAGAGCCCCTCTGGGAACTGGCCTGTTTCCCTTTGAGTTCCTCCTCCTCCTGCTCCGCTCGCCAGCCATCTGCCAGCTTCTCTTGGCTCTCCGCCTTCCTGCTCACCTCCATGGACTTTTTGTGCATGCCTTGCAGAGGGGAAAGAGCACAGCCAAGGGCGCCCGTTGCTTATTTTGGCCCAGGACTGCTCAGCATCACCTCCTGCCGTCCTGCTGCTTTCCTTCAGCTCTCAAATCCCGAGGAAAACTCATGCTAGCTACCAGCCTTTCCCAACCCAGAGCCCTGCCACCTGCTCTCTGCAGCCCCAGAGGATCATAGGATCATAGAATGGTTTGGGTTGGAAGGGACCTTAAGGATCATGGAGTTCAAACCCCCCTGCCCTGGGCAGGGACACCTCCCACCAGACCAGGTTGCTCCAAGCCCCATCCAGCCTGGCCTTGAACCCCTCCAGGAATGGGGCAGCCACAGCTTCTCTGGGCAACCTCTTCCAGTGTCTCAACGCCCTCACAGGAAGGAATTTCTTTCTGGTATCTCATCTAAATCTCCCCTCTTCCAATTTAAAACCGTTCCCCCTTGTCCTGTCACTGCACTCCCTGACAAAGAGTCCCTCCCCAGCTCTCCTGGAGCTCCCTTCAGATCTTGGAAGGCTGCTCGAAGGTCTTGCAGGAGCCTTCTCTTCTCCAGGCTGAACAACCCCAGCTCTCTCAGCCTGTCCTCACAGCAGAGGTGCTCCATCCCTCTGATCATCTTCGTGGCCCTCTGCTGGACCTGTTCCAACAGGTCCATGTCCTTTCTATGTTGAGGACTCCAAAGCTGGTCCGCACCTCCCCTGCAGCGGGGAAGACTTCTAGGGAGAGGAGTGCTGTGATGGCCCATCCCGCCCTGGATTTCAAATCCCACTTCAATGTAGGATGGTGTATGAGCAGGGGGTAGCTCTGAGGCAGCACTAACATTATCTTCAGTTTGGGGGGGGAGGAAGAGTGATGACCTCCTAGGTATCTCTGCAGCTCCTATGCTGGCTGCCAGCACTACCTAACCCGATGCAGGCACCCGTCTGACGCAGCAACAAAAGGTTTTCCCTTTCCCAGCTCTTCTTTGCAAGGAAGGAACGGAAAACCCAGGGCTCTTGGCAGCCTGCATACAGCTCGTGCCTGAGGGCCCTTCCTTTTTTTTGGGAAAAGATGAGGATGGCCATACACAAGAAGAAGGGCCGTTTACTCCACAGCTGCCCCCTGACCCTCCCCGGGGGAAGCTCCGAGCTCCCACTTACCCAGCAGCCAAGGGGCGCAGGATCCCACCAGCCCGCTCTTGGCAGAGTTGATGATGGACTCGGGCAGAGGGATGGAGTGCCTCACCATGGCCCCGTAGAGGCCATACTCGGCCATCACGCTGCTCCGGCCCCAGCACTTCTCCCGCTTCCGCCACTTGGCTCTTCGGTTCTGAAACCAAACCTTCAGGGGTAACAGCCAGGAGAGCACGGAGGGGTGGGATTTGGGGAGGAGACGGCCCCCCACGGCCGGGAAACCGGGGTCCATCAAGGTGGGGGGTGTCCACCCAGGGCAAAGGGGCAGCCGCAGGGTGGGGCATGAAGGGGTTTGGGGGTGCGGACACGCAGGCAGCGGCAGGAGGGTGCCAGGCTGATCACGACACGGGAGGGTGACCCAAGAACAAAGTCACCCCTACGCTCCGCCTGCCCACGGGGCCCCTTCTGCTGCCTTTGCAGGGAGCACCAACCTCTCCAGAAAAAGGGGTCCATAACGCAGTGGCCGGTGATGACAGAGGGTGCTCAGGACCCTCTTCTCACCCCCTTCCTGCCTTTGAAGTCTTAAGGGGGGTGTAGATACAACCTGGCTGCTGCCCAGACCACCACCCCATCCTCCAGCTGCTCCACAATGGGGCAGGACCAGGCCCTAAAAATGCCACGCGTCCCTCAGAGGGACAAGCTAGCGAGCAAGCTAGTGGGACACAGCTTGGCCCAGCAGCTCCTGAATCGCTCTCAGCTCCTGCCTGAGCTGGGTCTCTGGAGGACTGAGCCGAGCTGCCGGCAGTGAGCAGCTCTCGGGGTGCCAGCTCTGTCCCCCAGCTCTGCATTTCCATTTGGAGCCCGCTCAGTGCCAGGGGGGTGGGTGGGGAGGCAGATGCTGAGCTGCCACCCCTTCCCCCAGGTGCCCTGCAGCATTTTGGTGCCACCACGTTCCCACCACCTGCGCTCGCTGGCCACAGAGCACACAGAATCACAGAATCACATGGGGTTGGAAGGGACCTCTGGAGAGCATCTAGTCCAACCCCCCTGCCAGAGCAGGTCCACCCAAAGCAGGTTGCACAGGAACATGTCCAAGGTGGGTTTTGAATGTCTCCGGAGAAGGAGACTCCACCACCTCCCTGGGCAGCCTCTGCCAGGGCTCTGCCACCCTCAAAGCCCGCAGATTCCACCAGGAAGAGAGGACCCCCGCGGCCACCTACCTGGATCCTGTCCTCTGGCAGCTCTGTCTTCACGGCCAGCATCTCCCGGGCGTAGACGTCGGGGTAGTGAGCTTCGTTGAAAGCCTTCTCCAGCTCCTCCAGCTGGTGGGCTGTGAACACCGTCCTGCCCAGAGGAGAGAGCATCCTGTGACACAGCCCAGACCCTTTCGGGCAAGCAGCGGGACACGCAGCCCCCCTCCCTGTTGATGCCCCCCCCTACACACACCCCCATCTGCAGCCCTTCTCTTTGCTCCCCTGGGGGACACCCGCCACCCCGGCCTGGGGAGCAGAGGGACAACGGGAGGTTGGTGGCACAGCAGTGAGGAGGTGAGAAGGGGAGATCCAGGATCTCTGAGGCTCTACCTGTGCCGGCGTTTCTTCCTCTTGACCTGGGAGGTGGACATCTTCAGGTCGCTGGCGTCCCCAGACAGGCTGTCCTCATCTGGCAGCAACAGTGTGGGGAGGGGGAGGTGGGGGGGGAGAAGAGTCACCTTCCCGTGGGGAGCAGGTGGGGGGGGGACCAAACCCACCTCC